GGGGGGGGAAGCTGACTGCTCAGAATGTTTGTTTCAAACTTTGAAGTCGACTTTCATCGAGGGCTTGGCATATACTCTTACCTTCTTCCCAGGAATGGCCAGCAATGCCACAGCATCATGACTGTACTTATACGTTCCTGATGAGGGGCGGTGGTCCCGGTTTCCGGCATCGAATACATTTTTCTTTTGTTGGAAAAAAAAAAAAAGAGAAGGGCTGTTATGGTGGGCGAAGAAGGTAGGCATTCTACGAAAGCCTGGCAATTGCACTCAGTCAAAAAAAAATAGAAGAAGGAAAAAAAAAGTTAAAAAAAACAACTGGCCTAGCTTAGTTGGTACACCCCTGAACGGTCGAAATCAAACGATCTAGCGCCGGTCAGTTCGATGATGATATCTCAACTTCTCCATTCACCCTTTCAAAGACGACAAAAGAAAGAAATTAAGGAAGGGGGAAGAAAAAAAACCAGGAATGAGTCGTTTTGAAAAGGGTGTGCTAGACCTGCATCACAAAGAAGAGAGTTTGGCACCGCCTGGCTCCTGTTGGCGACTCTTTGCCCAATGCTACTGGTGCTGCTGCCGCTGCTGGTGGTCTCCTTCTGATCCGTGTTTCTTTCCTGTTTTGCGAGCAGCATAGGTACGATGATGTGCAGCGGAAGGCAAAGCCGGTTGCGACGACACCGAAAGATGTTGCGGAAGTGGTGAGTGATCATTGTACCGTCCTAAGCTGACATCAGCATTTGCAGTTGTACCCAAGTCTGTCGGTCTCGTTTTGCATTTGAGTACACCTGCTGTTGCTGGGTGAAACTTTGCTGGCTTATGTGGCCAACTGATTTTCCTGCTTTGCTTTTGTCTTTTTTCAACCTTTGGTTTGTTTCTCCTTTTCTTTCCTTTCCTTTTCTTTTTCTTTTGATTTGGGGGGCGGGGGGGGGAGAGAGGGGGGGGATGGGTCTAGGCAGATGAAAGATCTCAAGTAGACCACCTTGGGGAAAAAATCATGTTTGGAAACGAGACAAAACGTAGTAGTGGGTTTTGCAAATCATAGATGAAGTACTAAGATTGGGTTTTTCTTGGGGGGGGGGAATGGGGGGCAGGTGGGGAGGGTGCAAGGCAGGGCTCCAAAGTAGACCACCTGGTGTTATGGTCTTGGATATGAAGTTGTTATGAACTTGAGAAGAAAAAAAATAGTTTTAATAAGCACAAACCAAACCAGTCAAAACAGAACAGACTTCTGGAAGTCGCCTCTTCCTCTTACATCTCTCTCTCTCTCTCTCTCTCTCTCTCTCTCTCTCTCTCTCTCTCTCTCTCTCTCTCTCTCTCTCCCCTTTACAACAGTCTCAAAGTTTCCCGAAGCAACGTGCATCTTTTCATGAGTGTTGCAAAATTTGTTGCGTGAATGTTGTTGTGTGAAAAGAAATGTGGCATTTGCAGAGGAATGAGATAAGGAGCTACTCTGCAAACTGCTGCCACGTTCTTCTTGTGTACGTCTTTTCACCACCTCCAACTTCTTTCTTCTGCTTTTCGTTTTACTTTGTTAAGTTTGTTTCCTTTTTCCCTGGCGGCTGCTCCGTTTTTCCTTTTGCCTTTTTTTTTGTTTTGCCTTATGTAGAGTGGAGAGAGAAGCCTCTGTTGATGTTCAGTAGCTCAATAAATGACAATAATAGTGGATTCTCCTTTTTGTTGCCCGTCTCCTTTGTCGTCGTTTTGCAGGATGACAGTAAGCCTCAAAAAGGTCTTGGTGAAGTCTACGAGGTATGCTGTCCTTTTTCCAGGAGGCCTCATTATGTCTTGTGGAGAGGCGGTCAATGGAGGCGTCAATTTTCAAGACAGCTTGTCATGCCTTTTGTAACAAAACCCAAGGGTCGTTTTAACCAAACTTGCCACCGATTCATAGAGTGGAGATCATACCAACTACTTGCCCCAAAAAAAAAAAAAAAAAAAAAAAAAAAAAAAAAAAAAAACAGAAAGGCAAAAATGCACTTTCATGCTAGGCTGGGCCACCGCCCGGCCAGGCGGGCCCGGCCGGGCGGGCCCTGGCTGGTTGGGCCCGGGGGGGTCCGCCCGGCGAAACCGGGCGACGCTAAAACACAGCAAGGAATTTTTTTTTTTTTTTTTTTGAAGGCGGGGTTGTGCTGCGCTACCCTAGAGGACCCCGAATCTGCAATAAAAAAGTAAAGTTGGGGGGGGGGGGGGGGGGGGGGGTGGGGGGGGGGTGCTGGGGGAGGGATGTCAGCGGGTGGTCTGGGGGATGTCAGTGCTGGTATGTCACAGACCTTGCAGGTGTGTATGTGGAAGAAGAAGAAGAAGAGGAGGAGGAGGAGGAAGAGGAGGAGGAGGAGGAGGAGGAGGAAGAAGAAGAAGAAGAAGAAGAAAGATTGGGCGAGACGAAGTTGGAGGAAATGGCCGCCGCGGGGGAAGGTCCAAAACGCGGCCCCACGTGGCACAAGACCAAAAAAAAAAAGAAAAAAAAAAAAGGAAATGGTGTGAGGGATGGCGGGCAGGGGGGGGAGGGGGTGAGAAGAAGAAGAAGAAGAGCTGGCGAAGGGGAACGAGAAGGAGAAGAAGAAGAAGAAGAAGAAGAAGCGAAGGAGAAGAAGAAGAAGAAGAAGAAGAAGAAGAAGAAGAAGAAGAAGAAGGAGCCGAAGAAGAAGTTGAAGCAGCGAAGGGGGAGAAGAAGAAGAAGACAGCTGGTGGAGGACGGCGGGAAGGGGGGCTCAAAACGGGGCCAAAGAAGAAGAAGAAGAAGAGGAGGAGGAGGAGAAGAGGAAGAAGAAGATCTCTCTCTCTCTCTCTCTCACCCTCCCTCCCTCCTACTAACCCACTTACGTTGGCGCGGCAGCGCGATGGCAGGCATCGGCGGGCGTCGGGGGGCGACGACGGCATTGGCGGGCGTTGGCGGGCAATGGCGGAGCTCCGTCGAACCGACCTGTCGGGGGCTGAAGTGAGGCGTCGGGGGCGAAGTGACGCGTCGGGCGGGAAACGCCACGGGGGAGAGGATGAGGGCCGATGATTCCCACTTCGAACAATTCAAAATCGCGGCCCATCTGGGCCGTCGATCCTGGAGATCGACAGCGCAGATGGGCCCCGATTTCAAATTGTTGAAATTGGGCCTACCGGCCCTTTTTTTTGTGGTTTGTTGGCCTCGACGGCCTCCTTTGGGGGGAAGAAGGCCCCCCACGTCGAAAACGGCCTGAAACCCCCCTCCTTCTGGGATGCGCTGCGGTTGCCCGGTGGCCAACCGGGCGGAACAACCGGCCAGGCGGCCCGACCCCCCCCCCGGGCGACGACCAGGTCGCCGGGCGGCCCGGGGTTCAGCCTAGCTTTCATGTACATTTCGCCAACATTCCAATTTCAGAAATCTTGAGAAAATTCAGAAATCTCAGCAGAGGAAATTCCAATTCCCCAAATGATACCAAATTTTGGCACACAGCAACAACCAGGGGGAGCAAGGCAACTATCTCAGCTGGTGAACCCTAAGCGTGCCGCAGGGGCCAAGGGGAATTGAACCCACAACCTCCTGCTGAATGCCACTTATGTGCTGTACCAACTGAGCTACGCCGCTGGCCCTTCTTCCTCTTCTTTTTAGGTTTGACAACTTTTATCATTATATCATTTATTATTATTATAATTTTATATGCAGAAGAAAATGTCTGTGCTTTTAGCCTTTTAGTTTGTGTATAAGTGCATCACGTCATTCACTGAAGGGGAGCTTTTCCTATGTCGCCCTCATTTCAATGTTCTGCCCTTGTTTTTTGTTTTCTGTTTCCCTCCCCCCGCCCCCTCGTTTCATTTTCTACCCTTGTTTTTCGTTCTGGTTTCTTTTTTTTTTCTTTTCATTTTTTGTTTGGTAACGTCTGTTTGCTTTTTCCATTTCGTCTTCTCGGATCCCCCCTCCCCCCCCCTTGCTTTTCTGTTGTCTTTTGTTTCTTTGACTTCTGTGGGGTCTCACTGATTTCTGCTTGTTTTGTTTGTCAGACGACTCAACTTTGTTTTGTGGTTTGGTGTGCGTTGAGACTCTTGGCAGTTCTCGCCGAACTTCTCGGGGAATGTTGGGTAAATTACAGGAAAGACTTCAAAAAAGCCTTTTTGGGGGCGCACCGGTGTCTTGTGTCGCGCCATAGAAAATTCTTCATCTGCGAAAACAACAGCCACACCACTTCTTGCACTAACTATATCATGTGCAATTTGTGCATTCGTGTAACTTAGCGATAGACTATTGTGTTTGCTGTGTCAGTCTCAAAGACGTTGCCGATTACAGGAATGGGCGGCCAGTTATCTCTCTGTCTTGTGTCATGGAATACCAACCACACTGCACGTTGTACGATGCCACTTGCGCATTCATAAACTCACAGTGTGTTTAACATCAATGCCCTTATGCGATACCATCCGTCTGTGGAAACAACAACCGCGCTGTGCCTGTAGACTACCTATCTCCACAGTGGATTTAACGTCAATGCCCTTATGCGATACAGTCCGTCTGTGGAAACAACCACGCTGTGCCTGTGGACTATCTATCTCCCTTTGCTCATCCATCAACTCAGTCGACTATCTATCTCCGTTTGCCCATCCATCAACTTAGAAGAATTCAATAATATATATTGCACGTTTATTTGGGGTTCAGGCTCGTCCCAGGTTCATTCCAGGTTCATTCCAGGTTGATTCCAGGTTGATTCGAGGTTCATCCAATGTTCAAAATAGTGTTCAGAGTCATTCCAGGTTGATTCCAGATTCTTCTTTCCAGGTTCGTTCCAGGTTGGTACCAGGTTTGTTCCAGGTTCATTCCAGGTTTGTTCCAGGTTCATTCCAGGTTGGTTCCAGGTTCATCACAAGTTGATTTCAGGTTTGTTACATTCTAATGTCCAGAATTGTGTTGAGGTAGAGTGTATGTAAGATTTTGCATGTTCATTTCAGATTCAGCCCAGGTCCATCTCAGGCTCATTCCAGGTTTGTAGCCAGGTTCATTTTCAGCTCATTCCAGGTTCATGTCTGGTTTATTCACTGGTTCGTGCCAGTGTTCAGAATGTCGTTGAGAAATTGTTGCGATAGTCTAGGCTACCAGCCGGTCTGCGCAGGTCACCTTTTTTTGGCGGCCTTATCCAGAAAAACCAACTGAATAACTTTTGCCTCAGGGTCACATCGAAATTCTTTACCCTTTTTTTTTTTTTTTTTGTGGCCCGGCTGGGCAAGTGGTCCCGGGCCACCCTGGTAGCCTAGGTGATAGTGGGCCTCATTGTGTCTCAGGCATTTCTCAAGATTCTTTTCCTAAAGCCCTCAGGGTATCCTCCAAGGTGGTGTGTTGTTTATGCAAGGGGGGTAAGTAAGTGCTTCATTTGTGGGTTTAGGGGGGGCAGTTGTTTTCCTCCGGCCCCCCCCCCCCCCCCCACCCCTTCCCACGCACAAGTACATCCTCTGTGCGCTGTGTCTAACAACGTCTTGCCTTCATTTCATTTTGCAGGAGGAGTTTATGAAAGCGACAGGCGCGCACGGTTTGACAAAGGAAACAGAGAGGGACAAACTGAAGAAGGAGGTGAGTGTTTAGATGCTGTCTGAACTGTTCCTGAGACTTGGGAACGCACTCGGCAAGTTACATGTCTGATGCTCTGATGTGTAGAGAATGCAAACAGGTGAGTTTGAAGGCTATGGGTGTGTGTCAGTGTCTTGGTGGAGACACAGTTCCAGTGTCTTGGTCGACAAAGTGTTTGGCGTGCTCTGATGTGTAGCAAATGCAAGCAAGTGGCGTTTGGAGGTCATGGAGTCAGTGTGTCTTGACGGAGATACAAGTTGCAAGTATTCCGATGAACTCTCCGATGCTCCCACCGATGTGTAACAAATGCAAGTAAGTGACGTGAAGGTCATGACGTCAGTGTCCCGATGGAGGTTAAGGGCTCTCTGAGTCTTCCAACAAACTGACTTGAAGGTCATGGTGTCAGTGTCTCGACGGAGGTTTCAAGTTCTGAGTCTTCGCGGCGAAAAGGGAAAAGGGGGGAACAAAACAACAGGCGGGAAAACAGAAAAAGAAAAGGGGGGCGCAAAACCACAGGCGGAAAAACAAAAAAATAGAAACGGGGGGCACAAAACGACGGGCGACCGGGAAAAAGAAGGAAAAAAAAGCGGCGCCCGCATATTGGATGGCTCTCCTCCGAGATGTTCATCCGCATCGGCGTCCGCCGTGTGCCCCGCCCCCGGGGCCCGCTCTCTCGTTCGTCTACGTCCTACCTCGAAAGGTAGTTGTTGAAGTCGATAGATAACAAGCAAGGCGCGTATATGGTGGTGCACGCTTGTCTACAGGAAATGTGTAACAGTTGGACATGAAGTGAAGCTCGTGTATGCATGAGTGTTGTGTTAGCCCTTTGCCGTTTCAAATCTTTCGATCATTCGGCCGCCAGCATCTCCAAGCGGAGGGGCCTGTCAATGGGAAGGAGAAGATGGATGAATCAAGCAGTCATTTCTTTCTAGAAAATCGGCTCGAAGCACAGCACTCGGCGTGAGAATGGCGACCGGAATTTGAAAATGTAGCACTATATAGTACCGTACAGTTTCGTATTATATATCATCAAATAGAACTGCCCAGTAAACTGTCGGCAGAGAGGGACAAGAGGACAACAATCGAGGGGCTGTGACAAACTGTTTTGCCGGAGTTTCACCGACTCGTTAATCAGTAGAGGCTGAACCCTCAACAGTCTGCAGAATCCCCTAACTGATTACACTGTAAGCGACAATCCACCTTAACCCCGGTTGTGGTTAAGCATCGACAACTGCCCGGCAACGGATAACCCCGGTTGTGGTTAAGCATCGACAACTGCCCGGCAACGGATACCCTCAGGTGGGCAACTCAAGGTACCTGTGACGAAAATCAAAGCAGACTATCACTCACCCACACCAGATGGAAAACCCTACAGACTGTCGATTCACAGACCCCATCACAAGCCAGCAGAACACCCACGAAACAGAGAACGTGAAAGGCCTTCCACGATTTAGACCCCAAATTCGGATCTGAGGGTCAGATGCAATCAGACTCGTAGGCTCTGACTATGTCGGGAGCAGTCTCTAGAAGTTCTGCTTTCGTGAACCAGCGGTCGTCTTCCGGTTCCTGATAGGCAAACCGGACTTTATACTGTTTCTGGGGACGACCTCTACCTCCTGTC